ATTAGGAAAATACTCTTTTCTGGGCTTCTTTCACCCCACTCTCTTCTGCATTGAACTGTTAAGAGCTCATAGGTTTCTTCCAAATTCTTAACAGATCCAAGACTTGTGATTTTTTGATTCCCAACTCTCAACACCTAGCTACACCTGCTGGCTCCCAGGACTGCTCTGTGCAGTTAGCACTCGAGAGCTATCAGACAACTCCTGGCACATCTTCTTGAGACTCGGCCATGCAGCAACAGTGGCTTCCTTAGCAGCATAGCTACCATAACTCCTTCTGCATAGAACCTGTACCTCTCCCTCTGTATTGTAGACCAGTTCACATTGAGGCAAGCATTGAAATTTTGTTCAACATCTTTTGAGGACTGTCTGTCCCAAACTCGGAACATCCAACAGAGATGTTGCAGCTGCAGAAGATCCTCCAAGAATCAACAGCATGTGAACTTCTGGTTCTGGGGAATTCCATGCCAGCCTTTCACCAGACTCTTAGAGAGGACGGGCAGAAGATGAAGTAGTCACTTGCAGCTTGAACATAGCTAGTAATAAGGATTCCACCACCATCCAGATGTGTTTGCAGTTTTTTTTATGCCCATTGTTCAACAAAAGCAAGGTGATAAAAGATTACATTAACTCAAGGAAGAATTTTCTCCATTAAGATCAATGAATTAATATGCCACCTGACACAACAGAATGGGTTCTGAGCACTGACGCAGGGTCACTGGACCCTAAACGTTAACTCTGATTTTTTTTCTTCACAGATGCTGCCAGACCTGCTGAGCTTTTCCAGAAACTTCTGGTTTTGTTCCTGATTTACAGCATTCACCATTCTTAAGGATTTTATTTAACAGAATTGGTAACTTGGATGCAAGATGTAAGCAAGTGATCTTGAACCTTTGCAAGATACTTGTTAAACCTCTGATGGAGTATTGTGGGCGCCATATTACAGGAAAGATGTGAACGCATTAGGAAGAGTATAGAAGGGATTTATAGGAATGGCTCCGGAAATACAAACTTGGAGAAAAGAAAGCTGAGAGGAGTTTTGATAGACGTTTTCAAAATTATGATTGGGCTGTATTCAGTAGATAAAGAGAAGCTGTTCCTCCACTTAAGAAGAAAAAAATTGAGAGGGCATAGATTTAGCATGTAAAATAAGCAAGGGTGATGTGAAAAAACCTTTTCACACAACAAGTAATTAGAGTATTGATTGCAATGCCTAGAGATTTGATTGGAGGCAGGCTGAATTGAATTGTTCACGGGGGCATTGGATGTTCATTTGAATGGAAATAGTATGCAGGGATAGGGGGAAAGGCCAGGAGATTGGCTTTAAGTAGTAGACCTGGTACAGGCATGATGAGCGAAATATTTTCAACTATGCTGTAACAATTCTGATTTATACAAGACATTTTTTAAAAGTTTAATCGGGAGGGCAAGGCAATGTGCTTGTAATTGCAATGGAGTGTCAGATTATATAAGAGGTATGAATTCAAGGTTCATGTCTCCATTTGTTAACTTTATTACTTAAATCATTTCAGCATGATTCCCTCTCTTCTACTCATCTTTGGGGAATGCATCCTAAGTTTACATCATGCTGTTCCTTCATCCCTGTTATCATCTTGGTGAACTGTTGCTAAGCTACTTGCATATTTTAAAAGTTGGTATGCACAGAATGAGGACGAGAAGATTACAAATTAGCTTTGCCTGTTGATGTTTATAGTAAAAACTTTCCTTAGTACCTTGACTAAAATAAATCAAAAGCATTTCACAAGTCTGCTGGTGCAGTACTGACTATTTTGTCCTCCGTTCTGAAATAGGTTGATGGGAAACTGAACAAGTGCAGTACCACAGAATTAGGCAGTAATAGTTGAATTGCTTCCATTCTTCTTATTGAACCTATTTTGAAATCTAACATCCATTCATGCAGCATCATCTGGCTTGGGACCTCAAAAGCATTCTGTGTGTGCATCTTGATGCCATTGGCATTTGAGTTTCTGCTTCATGAGCAATATACCTGGATCCTTTGATCCCTTTAGCTCTTTCCTTTTTTGAATTCTCTTCCCATTTGCCTTTTAAAATTAGAAAATTATGTTGCTTGGTTATATTAAGCCATATTATTCTATATAATTCACTTCCTATGTTAGGGACATACTTAAGAACTAAGAGTAGGCAATTCAGCCTCTTGAGCTGCACCACCATTTAATGTGATAATGGGTCATCTGATCTTGCCCTGAACTCCACTTTTCTGCCTGCTTTCCATAACCTTTCAATCCATTACTCATTTAAAAATGTATTTCCTCAAATTTACACAATGTCCCAGCATCCACCGCACTCTGGGGTAGTGAATGCCACAGATTCATGACCCTTTTTGAGAGAAGTAATTTCTCCTTGTCTGTTTTAAATCTGCTATTCCTTATTCTAATTCTGCAGCCTTTCTTTCTAGATTTCCCCATGAGGAAACACCTTCTGTATGCCTACTTTGTCAATCTCTTCTGGCATCTTAGTTACCACAATTAGATCTCTTTACGTTCTTCTAAAGTCAAGGCAGTATAGGCCTAAACTGTCTTAGTAAGACAAATCCCTCATCTCTGGAATTGATCTAGTGAACCTCCTCTGAAGTGCCTCCAATGCAACTACACCCCTCCTCAGGTAAGGGAACCAAAATTGAACACAGTATTCCTGGTGTGGTTTCACTAATGCCTTGTACAGTTGCAACAACACTTCCCTATTTTAATATTCTATTCCTTTTTGCGATAAATGCTAAAATTCCATTTGGCGTGTTTATTACCTGCTGTTATCCTTGATAAATTTGGTTAAAACTGCTCCACCGTATCATGTATACAGAGAGGTCTGAAACACATGTTTGGGGCCATCATTTTTCACTATCAGCCGATCCAAAAAAGCATCTCATAGTCACTCTTTCCCTTTGATTTCCCAAGAAATTCTGAGTCAATGCCAAACTTTTAATTTTTACCTAGTAATCTAGATTTGTGAAGATCCTTCTTTTACTAATTTTACTCTTTTTACTTGCTACTAATAAAATTGGTGTGCAGGTTGGGAATCCTTTTTAAGGAAGATTAGATATTGGTCAGAATGATAACAACCACATGCAGTTTAAATACAGGGAGATTTCCTCGGCGCTACACAGGAATGCAGTCTGACGAAGTAGAGCACATTGGGAAGGGTAACAATAAAAAAAATTGATTTTATTTCTCACTGAAGACATGTCGCTGAAATGTGACATGAAAGTAAAGTTGAGAGATTATTCAGAGTCTATAGTGAGATCCACCAGTGAGCACCAGGTTGGAAGAGGGACAATTTGAAATCTCACATGAAGAGAGAAGTGCAGTACACTTTGGGCAGTACACAACAAATATTCAAAACATTGGATGTACATCTGGTGGAAAAAATTAGAGGCAAGAACATAAACTTGCAGTACAGTGACCACGCAACACTTCTTAAGATGCATAAAATATTGTTTTAGAAGTTTAAAATATGTATTATATATGAGTAGTAAAAAGACACTGTGATTGTTACAAAGCAGATATCGGAAGAAACTACATTGAAGTGGATGGTGTCCCATTGGAGCAAGTAGATGAATTTGTCTATTTAGGATAAATGATAAGATTAGATGGCAGAAGTTAGAAGAGATAGCTAGAAGTAATTTTATGAAAATGATTGTGTTGACAACAAGTTTGTAACCAGGAAATACTGATCAGATGCTACATTCTATCAATTTTCCTGTATGTCTCGGACCATTGGATAAGAAATAAAAATCCTTGGATGAAAAGAGGGGCCTTTGAATTGTGGATGCTGAGTTGTAAACTAAAATTTTCATGAGACAAATGAAGAGGAACTTCAAATTGCAAGAGCAAGAATAACCTTGAATGGCATCCAGAAATAAAGATTTGATCAAAGCTGAAAACTGCAGCTATCTCCAAGAGGGAAAAATGGACGGCAGCAGAAGGAGGGGTTGGTCTTGATGCAGATCAATTACAGTGGATGTATAAGGATGGTGCAAGACAACACAAGTGTGACATGCTGTAGCAGATCTTCTGACAAATCTAAGATTTATCAAAAAGGTAGATTTTGAAAAAGTGTATTCAAAGAAGAAAGAACCCTGCATACCCGTCTGGATTTGCTTGTTCTCCGCATCTATTAGCTCAGTTGGTTAGACAGCTGGTTTGTGATGCTGAGTGACACCAACAGGGCAAGTTCAGCTCCTGCACCAGTTAAGGTTACCATGAATGTCCTGCCTTCTCAATCTTGCTTGTTGTCTGAGGTGTGGTGACGCTCAGGTTAAACTCCCTATCATTCATCTCTCTCTAATGAGAGTAGCCAAATGGTCCTCTGAGACTATGGCAACTTTTGTTGGACATGAGGGTTGAGGTTCTCACATTTACAAGTTTATCACATCTTGGGATCTCTGAGTTTTCAACATTGTACTGTATGAAAACTTAGAAAACACCGACATTTTTTTTTAACAGGTCAACAAGTTATTCCTTTAACTGCAAAGGACTTCTATTGAAAAAGTCTAAAAAGACAATTGCAATGAATAAAACCAAGCCCATTTAGCTTGATATTTTAATCTTTAAATATTCAATGATGGCTAGCAATGTAAGCAGAAAATCCTAGAGGAATGATGGAAGAAAACCGACTTCTAGCTGGATATAAAAGTAAAACTTTTGGGTTCCTTCAAAATTCTTCTATATTAGCTCTGTACCCAGAGATTAAAATATCTGTTGTTAGGGGCAACATATTCAAATTGTTAGATTAATTTGTTAGAGTTGTTCATTACTGTTTTCGAGAATTTTTGTAGCTTAGTATTTAACATGTTGCATAATCAATATACCAGTTCCATGGCATAGTCAGCTATGGACCAAGTGCAAGTAAGTGAGATTAGTATAGTTTTGTTCGTTAGTCAGCATGGATGTGGTGGGTTGATGGGCCTGTTTCTATGTTGTATGACACTATGACTCTATTATAGTAAAGTGTTTCTTTTTGTCTAGGGATTGCCCTTCTTTATCTGCAATGTTTCCGTGTAACACAGGAGTCTGTGCATCTCCAGCGATCTTTGTATTATGTGAAGAGGACTCTGCGTAATCTGAATGGTCGAAGAGTCACATTTCTTTGTGGTGATGCGGGACCTTTAGCTGTTGGTGCTGTTGTACATCACAAGTTGAAGAATCAAATTGAATCACAAGAATGTGTCACAAAGTAAGGACATTGATTTGGATGTTTGAAAACTACTCAACTAGACAGGAGTACTTTTAAATAAATTAAAGTTTACAATTTTTGTAATTCGTTATCCAATATGTTTTTCATTTTACTATTTTAAAAATGCATTTCCAGAAGAGAGCATCATGAAAATTTTGAATGTTTTATCATGAAAGATCAAAACATACTTTATATTCTAATTTTTAAACTTGACTCTAGTTTGGACTCTTTTTCTTTTAAAGAGTCTAAGGTACTTTTTAACTAATTCTCACTGAACTTGTAAATTCACATTGTTTGTAGCCTTGCCTCTCGTGAGACCATTGTTTGCGTCATGTTGGCAAAATTTGTGTTAAGCATCTTCTGATGTAGCTCAGAAGCTCTGCTCTGGCATGTCAGTCTGTTTTCAAAAAACCAAAGTACTGCAGATTCTGGAAATCAAAAACAAAAACAGAGATTGTTGGAAAAAAGAACTCTGAAGAAGTGTCACTGGACCCGAAATGTTAACGCTGCTTTCTCTCCACAGATGCTGCCAGACCTCCTGTGTTTTCCAGCAATTTCTGTTTTGTTTCAGCAATCTCTTGTATTTGCTGTAGAAGAAGATAGTGGGCTGAGATGGTTGACTGTCTGTATTTTCTGGGCCCCTCTTCGTTGTCAGCTGAACTTTTCATTTCTGCTTACCCTCTCTAATTTTTTTCCAACAGTGAGCCTTCAAAAGGCCATGACAATCAGCAACTGTCCCCTAGTTGTCAGTGTTCATGTTTGCCATCTCATATGCTTTTAGGTGTCCTTGTAGCAGAGATATGGATGCCCAGGAGTTCATAATACACAGCCAATTCATAGACAGTGACCTTTTGTATCATGTGGCCATAATCCATCCAACAAATGTGGCTAAGCCAGCACAAATATCAAAGGCTTTGCAGTGAATGTATGATCATGGAATTAGTGCACTCTAAGAGCTCTGAAATGGTGATCTTTGTCCCAGAACAAGTGTTACGGGCTGTCTGTGACAGAGGCTGAGACTGTTGTATTCCACAAATCAGCCAGTACCCACCGCAATCAAGTTGCTGTTGTTCCACACTCTACTTGGCTTGGATACAACATCTGCAATTTTTGTAATATTTATTAGTTTCAGCGTCAAGTGACAGATTGCTGATGACTTGTGGAGCTTTGTGTGTGTAGTAGATGTGTTCAGCCAGGATCTGTACTCTGACAAGGTGAAATTATGTACTACAGGAACAGTATTTGTGCATAATCCTGACATTTCAGTTTGCGAATCAGCTGCTACATTCCTTTTCATTTGTTTTGTTTGCATGATGCATGGATTCAGTTCGCTTGTCCAATGATTCTAATTTCCCAGTACACATTGAAGTAGGAGTACTGTGATAGATCAACACCTTTTCTTTGTTGGGGCCTGCATTTGAGGTGGGTGCTGGCTGACCTATCAGACCCGATAGTTCTTCCCACTGTCAGCAACAGCCCATTACACTTGTTTTCTACACCGATGAAGTTAGGCATATAACTCCTAACTACTGTCTGTGTTGTGTTGATGATCTGTAGTGAAACAGGGTGTCTTCTCCAGGATACAAGCTTGGGGGATAAGTTTATGGTGACTCTGGTCTGCGTAAATGTTGGAACCCCCCCAGTTGAATCCAGCTCGGTCCAGAAGTCGCTGAAAAGTGATGACTTTGGACATATGTCTCCTTTTGCCTTTGGGGTCCAATCGAGATTTGTTCTCCAATTTTACTCCCTTAGCCTTTTGACTGTCTTGAGGTATCTATAATTAATTGGAACTACACCTCTAGATAGACCTCCATAAGCAAAGGGCCTGCACATTTTGCATGTCTCAGGGCTAAACCTCCTTCCTCTTTTTAGCCTGAAGTTGCATGGGAGCCAATTTCCTTCTGTCACTATGAGGAGGGACAACTGAGGGCTTGCTGCTTGAAAAGTAGACAGACTTGAATATTTAGGGTTTCTTTGCCCACATTGCTGCTAGCCAGCTGTGTTGGCTGAAAATGAGAAGCCAACTAACATGCAAAGGCAAAGCTTTGTTTTAGTGGAAAACATGCAACTCACACTCTGACTCACTCACTCACTCACCTTATCACATTAATATGATAGACACAAAACATTAATGTCATGTGTGGAGCCATCATTACAAATAATATATCAATTATTTAAAGTTATAGATTATCTTGACAAGTAAATTAGTAAATCTATCATTGTAACCATTAAGATACTCTATTCAGGTGTGTATGATTACATTTTCTTGGTATTCATTATTTCTCTTGCTCTTATTAGATTGTTGCAACTGCAAAGAACTGTTGTTTGCCTGGATTCTGATATCCCAGATGAGCTGCTGTTTGGCAGAGCTGGATACTTGTATGCTTTACTATATGTGAATACAGAGATTGGGCAAGATACCATTCCTTTTTCTGTTATTCAGGAGGTAAGAGTTACTTTTACTTTTCGGTGTAATTCGTATATTTCTTCATTGCAGCTTTTATTTGTGCATTTGTTTACACCTCTTTAAATGTCAGCTTTTAGACATGCTCAACAGTGTGAGTGTCATCTGATCCTCAAACAGTATAATTTGAAAAGAACTGATATGTTAAATGTTATACTGATGTGGAGTACTTCATTGTTGGAAAACCGTTTTCCTTTTAATAAGATGAGACCCTGTTTACTTTTTCAGTTGAAAGTTATAGACCTTGTATTGCAATTTAGTTTTACTAGGCTAATATCATGAATTAGCCTTTTGAGGAAAGGCTAAAAAGGCTAGGTCTGTGATCGCTGGAGTTTAGAAGAGTCAGAGGTGACGAAATTGAAACACGATCCTGAGGGGATTGAACCAGGTGGATGTTGAAAGGTTGCTTCCTCTTATGGGAGAGTCTAGAACTAGGGGTCATGATTTAAAAATAAGGGGTGCTCATTTAAAATAGATGAGGAAACGTTTTTTTCTGAGGGCTGCAAATCTTTGGAATTCCCTTCCTCAAAAGGAAATCTTTAAATATTTTTAAGACCGAGGTAGATAGGCTATTGATTGCCAAGGGAATGAAAGATTATTAGGGATATGTAGGAATGTAGAGTTGAGGTTAAAATTGAATCAGCGATGACCTTATTGAATGGCTCGAAGGCACGAATGATCTATTCTTGCTGTTTGTTCGTATCTTCATGATTTGAAGAAAATCTGGAAGATCTCCCAAGGTTCTGGCCATCGTGCTGTTTCAATGAATGCCATCAAAATTAAATCAGTTAGCCATTCATTCGGAATTGCTGTTTGTGATCACTGTACAGTATTGGGTGTAATGTTTACTTAGTAACATTAGTGACAAAAATAATCCACTCCCAGGTGTTCTAATTAAAAGGTGTCACAGTGGGCAATTTTTCTTGTTCAAGTGCATTTAATGGAAGAAAACGGCATAAGCAGCTGATCAGTTCTCCTCTGCTTTGTGAATGGACCAGAATGAAGGCATGTGATATCCATTTGCAGTTGGGCTCTGTAGTGCTGACTTGTTTGTGTTAAAGCCATGTTGGATGTTGGACTTCTTGGATGATGCTGTAACACCAGTACAGTGTTGTTACTTGGCATTAAAAAAGTTATGAAAGCTGTTGTATAATCACATTTTTGTGGAAGAAAACACTTTGAGTACATTTTGTAATGCCTCTTTCCTGTACTTTAAATAATTGATTGAGTAATTCAGTCTCAACCTTACATGCTCTTCAATCCTTGATTTCTCATATGTGAGAGAAACCATTTTGCTCCTTTTATTTACATTCACCCATCAAAAACATTTCCAGGGGCTCTGTTGTGTTATCTAACTGTTTCAAAATTTCCCGCAGTTATAACTATCCTAAAGTTCTAAGATCACATTTTTGGTATCACCTTTCTGGACTTAAGACTTTCTACCTAAATTGATCCTTTTGACATGGTATTAGCCTTGTCACTCTCTTCTGCACAAAGTGTCTGTCTTTGTTTCTTAGCAACTGACATTGAATGTGGTTTGCCAAGGTGTAGCCTGGTCACTAAATCTATCTTTTTATTCTTTTGCTTAAGATCATATTGGATTGTTTATTGCTATTCGGCATTGCCTGTATATATTTAACATCACATTTATTCCACAAGTGAGATTAGAGAAATTTAGTTATGTCACGTTTTTTCTATTTAATGCTTTAATTGCCCATTTAAATTTTATCTCCCATTCTGTCCACATGCATATTTTGTTTAACACTTTTTTTTTTCCTATAATTTCTGAGCTAGCTTCAGTATTCCATCTAGCTTGACACAATGACGCATTCAAATTTGCAATGTCTTTTTGATTCTGTCATTTAATTTAATTTAAATAGCGTTTTGAGTACCATGCCTGTTGCCAACGCAATGCCCTGTCAAATTCGATTTCTTTCAATCGTATTTATTGCTCTGAGCAAATTTTTTTTTTTTATCCATTCCAATTTTTGCCTTGACTCTTCACAGCTGACTTTGCATAGCTTAAGCTATCGGCCCTTCATTGGAACTTTATCAAATGGCTTTCAGAAGTTTAATGTTGTTAAATACAGAATGTCAAGGAGCTCCTTGAAGTCTATTTGACTTGTCAGTTACTCAAAAAATGCAGGAGATTGATCAGGAAGATGTTTCCTCTTCAAAAGACAAGCTAACTGCTGTCTATTAGGTGCTGAAAATTATTTGTACAATCAAGTGCATGTTTGTTAGGTCATTCTATTAATTATGCTTGAATTTTAAAGTGTTATCATGTCTGACTGGTCACCCCATTTTTGGAATATAGGAACCACATTAGCATATTTGCAGTCTGCTGATACATTTCTAGTGATCGAGTTCATAATTGCCAAGGGCTTAAAAGTTCACAGTTAATTTACTGTGATCATATACAATTTCAACATTCTTTGGATTTGTACCTCATAGCCTTGTCATTTTAAAATTATGTTTGTGTGCTTTCTTCACTACTTGTAAATGCTGGACCACTGTCCAGGATATTGATAGATTAGGTGAATGGGCAAAGCTGTGGCAGATGGATTTTAATATAAGCAAGCGTGAGGTGATTCATTTCAGACCAATAAAAGATAGATGAGGATTTTTTTTTTGAGAAGGTGCAAAGCTAAATACACCAGATGTCCAACAAAGTTTGTGGATTCAGATGCATAGCTCTTTAAAATGCCACGAACAGATGAAAAAAAAGTCACAAAGTCTAATGCAATGCTGGTCTTCATATCGAAAGGGCTGGCGTGTAGGGATGCAGATGTTATGCAAATCCTAGTTGGACCCCAATGGAGCACTATAGGCAGATCTGGGCACCACAACTTAGCAAGGATGTTTTGGCCCTGGAGGGAGTTCAATGCAGGTTAACGAGGATGAGATCTAGACTTCAGGGTTATATTTTGTGAGGAAAGATTAGACAAATTAGGACATTATTCATTAAATTTAGAAATTTAAGTGATGATCTAATTGAGGTCTTCAGGATACTAATGGGGAAAGTTAGGGTAGATAAAGATAAACTATTTCCCCAGTTGAAGTTCTAGAACCCAGAAGCGCAGGCTAAGAAGTAGGACCAGGCCATTGAAGAGAGAAGTTACATGCAAAGAGTAATGGAGGTTTGGAACACTCTTCCTCAAATGGCATTTGATGGTAATTCAACTTTTAATTTTAAATTGGAGACACAAATTTTTATTAGGCTGGATATGGGCCCAATGCAGGTGTATCGAGTTAGGCCACAGATTGATCATGATCTTATTGAGTGATAGAGCCAGTTCAAAGGACTGAATCGTCTATTCCTGGTCCCATGCTTCTATGTCTCAGCCACCTCTTTTATGCATTTAAGTTAAGCATTTAATATATAATTTGCATTCTCATTTATAAGTGATAGCATCTGCCAGCTCTTTTACACAATGGCATTGCCTGTCAAGATCCTATTTTTAAATATTGCACAGTAGTTCAATGTTGTGAATCAATTGTCTACAAAGTTAGACACAAAATTGTGTTGTATTTAAAGTCCGCTCTTTAATAAAAATGGGTAACGTTCATTGTAATTATTAGCTTCCTAGGACTTTGTGAATCATTCGTTCATAGAAATTGATGACTGAAACATATGTTGCATGTATTTTCTTTTGAAATGAATGTTTAATTGATTTATTAAAACATAATTAATAAAGCAAGGAGTAAGACTGTACTTTATAAATGATTTGTTAATGAGAGAGCTTCACGTTCATCTTTGTAGCAATTTTAGAATTTTTAAACCACAATATTTTTTCTCATTTCTTCTTCCACATACTCTAATCTATCAAATAGGTAGTTAATGCCATTATCGAATCTGGCAAGAATCTATCCAAGGAAGAACGCAAAACTGAACGCTGTCCTCTTCTCTACCAATGGCACAAAAAACAGTATGTTGGAGCAGCTCATGGCCTAGCAGGGATCTACTGTATGCTAATGCAGGTTGGTTTCAGATGTCAACTTTATTTGATTTCCCACCAAGTACACATTCAATGTGCCTGAAAAGGTTGGGTTATGAAATCTAATCTAAGTGAATTTTCAATGCCTGTGCCAAGAGCTCAGTTTCTGTCCAACATTTTCTCTGGCACTAAAATGTAATATTAAAAGTATGGAGTTTTATTTATTCTGTCCTTGATTATTATTCGAAGTTTACTTTCTTTCAATGGCTTTCATTTCTCTCACTCTCTCACTCTCTCACTCTCTCACTCACTCTCAATCCCATTTTTCTTTTCAATTTCTGTGCATAATTCTACTTAGCATATCTGGTTCAAACTTGAGTTCCTGGTTTGGCCCATGCTTGCCTCAGTTGAATTCTTCAACCTGCTTGAGGATGACATTGTTAGTTACCCTTTATCGCAGGTCCCAGATCACCTGTAGTGGCAAACTGTTTTGGTTTTCCATTATTGCACACTTCACTGCAAAAACCCAGAGAAAGTCTGTGGACAAGTGTAGTAATAATGCCATTTATTTGTCACTGACCCCAAAATTTGGGCTGATTATATCTCCTTGTTACTGAACGTTCACCCGCAACCTCATACAACCTTTTCAGTCAGAGTGCTACCATTTTTAATTCTTTAGCATACCAATTGAACGTGATGGGATGAAGTATTGCTTCACCACAATAGTAAATATACTAAGACTGTAATTGTGACATACATTCTTTGCCTATATTGTAAAAATTTTAAAATGACAAATGTTAGAAATATTTGGCAGGTCCATTAGTAACTGTAAATGAAATATAGATGAATATCTATAAGGTCTCAATTACTCTGGTTTCAACTTAGAATATGAAGCCGATTCCATCATGCTATCCTGAATTGCTGATAGGAAAATCGAGAGCTGAACCCACTATCCTGCATTTTCCTTACACCATCTTTTGCTGTATGTTTTATTTTTCTTTTATTGTTGTAGGTATAGTCATCTAACCTCTATTATACTAAAATTATATTCTATTCTATAAATTTTGAATGGAATTTTCTAGAGTTTGAAAGCTTGTTCCTGTTCCAGCCAGGCTCAAAGTTGGATCAGGAGACCCTCATGGAGCTAGTAAAACCCAGTGTGGACTATGTGCGACATAAAAAGTTTAGGTCTGGAAACTACCCTTCATCATTAAGCAATGAGACTGACAGACTGGTCCATTGGTGCCATGGTGCTCCTGGTGTTATACACATGTTGATTCAGTCTTACAAAGTGAGTATTTGAATTACAAGACAATTTTACTTTTTCTAGCTACAATTTATTATCATAGATGCTTTTGTAGTGTAATTGTGGCTAACACCATCTGGGTCCGATCATCAAAGTGGGTCTTAAATTGAGAATCATCATTTCTGATGGAGGGTCTAGGCCCGAAATGTCAGCCTTTCTGCTCCTATGATGCTGCTTGGCCTGCTGTGTTCATCCAGCTCTGCACCTTGTTGTCTTAAATTGAGAGATGGGTATCAGGACTCCATGGAAGTCCTTAACCTGTGCACATACAGAAATTGACTAAGAAGTTTACACTAAGTGGGCTGATTTCTACTATGAGAACCCTCTGTAAGTATCCTTGATGCTGAACTTAATGACTGAGATTTGGATCAAATACTTTGGACTTATCTGGATGCTTAACCAACCAGTTCTACAATAGTTAATATCTGAAATAACTTGATTAGCCAGTGCAATTGAACTGAGCACTATAACCAATAAGACTTTCAGAAATAGGAACAGGAGTAGGCTCTTCAGCCCCTTGAACCTGCTCCACCATTCGCTAGGACTGTGGTTGATCTGACATTCCCTACATGCACTTTACTGTCCTTTCCCCATAATCCTTGATTACCCTCCTGATCAAAAATCTCTCTGTCTCAGTCTTAAATATGCACAAATGACTCTGCCCCCACAGTTCTCTGTAGCAAGGAGTTCCAAAGACTGTTAACCATCTGAGAGAAGAAATTCCTCCTTATTTCAGTCTTAAATTGATACCTCTTTATTTTGAGACTCTGTCCTCTGGTCCTAAACCCTCCCATGAGGGGAAACATCATCTCAGCATTTATCCTGTCAAGCCCCTTAAGAATCCTATATGTCTAAATGAGATCACTTCTTGTTCTTCTAAACTCCAGTGAGTAGAGTTCCGACCTGTTTAGCCTTTGCTCATTAAGACAATCCCTCCGTACCAGGGATCATCCTGGTGAACCTTCTGTGAACTGCCTCCAATGAAATGATACTCTTCCTTAAATAAGGGAACCAAAACTGCTATCAGCACCCCCAGAATCAGTCCTGAGTCTTGCCAGCTGAACAACTATGCAACCGGTCCTTTATCCATGATTGTCCACTCACTAACTGACTTGAACCTGCTCAATTCAGGTAAGTAATGAGTGAGTGTCATTTCCTTTCTTTGATTCTTCTGTGCTTGCTGGGCTCACTCTGGAGAGACTCCATTGATCCATTTCTAGTAGTTCCATCAGGGTGTAGAAAGATTTACAGGCTTGCATAAAACAAAAATAGAAATTTCAATCACATGAGGCTTCCTCCAGGCTCGGGGAGGCATGCCAGGAACCTGTTTTTATCTGTTGCCACTGGCCAGAAGATCTGGCCCAATTTTTTTTTTCCCTCGGAGCTCATATTCACACTCATCAGCTAGATGACGAAATGGAAAAGGATACAGATGATGCCAAGTTTCTGGAGCAAACTAAGCATGTAATTTCGGAGTTCTTTAGGTTAGCATAATGTTATTCATAGTAATTTTCTTTTATTCATTTGTGGGATGTGGGTATTGCTGGCTGGCCAGCATTTATTGCCCATAACTAGTTGCCATTGGGAAGGCAGTGGTGAGCTGCTTTCTTGGCTGCGGGTTGATTCACAATGCCATTTTGACCCAGCAACAGTGGAGGAACAGTGATATATTTCCAAGTCAGGACAGTGAGTGGCTTGGATGGGGAACTTGAAGGTGGTGTTGTTCCCATATATCTGCTGCCCTTGTCCTTCTAGATGGAAGTGGTCGTGGGTTTGGAAGGTGCTGTCCAAGGATCTTTGGTGAATTTCTGTAGTGCATCTTGTAGATAGTACACACTATTGCTACTGAGCATCGGTGTTGCAGGGAGTGACTGCTTGTGGATGTAGTGGGCTGCTTTGTGGTTTTGATGGTGTCAAACTTCTTGAGTATTGTTGGGGTGCACTCATCCAGGCAAGTGGGAAGTATTCCATCACACTCCTGACTTGAGCCTTGTAGATGGTGGACAGTCTTTGAGGAGTCAGGAGGTGAGTTACTCATCGCAGTGTTCCTAACTGTGACCTGCTGTTGTAGCCCCTGTGTTTATGTAATGAGTCCAGTTGCGTTTCTGGTCAATGATAACCACCAGGATGTTGATAGTTGGAGATTCAATGATGGTCACACCATTGAATGCCAAGGGGCAGTGGTTAGATTGTCTCTTATTGGTGATGGTCATGGCCTGGCATTTGTGTGGCACGAATGTTACTTGCCAGTTGTCAGCTCAAGCCTGGATATTGTCCAAATCTTGCTGCATTTGAACGTGGACTGCTCCAGTATCTGAGTAGTCACGAATGGTGCTGAACATTGTGCAATCATCGGTGAACATCCCCACTTCTGACCTTATGATGTAGGGAAGGACATTGCTGAAGCAGCTGAAGATGGTTGGGCCTAGGACACTACCCTGAGGAACTCCTGCAGAGATGTCCTGGAGTTGGGATGACTGACCTGCAACAACCATGACCATCTTCCTATGTGTCATGTATGACTCCAACCACCAAAGAGTTTGCCCCCTGATGCCGATTGATTCCAGTTTTGCTAGGGCTCCTTGATGCCACACACTGTCGAATGCAGCCTTGATGTCAAGGGCTTTCACTCTTGCTTCACCTCTGGAATTCAGCTCTTTTGTCCATGTATGACATAACTGATGCTTTTCCCAATCCATTCTCCACAATTTGGCTCAAGTGCTGTAAGCCCACACTATTAGATGTTGCCTAATATATATTCACTTTCTTTCACACTCAACATTGCTGATTTCTTCAGTCAGTGTGCTGGTGAGGAAGGGATTCAAGGTGAGCATTTGTATTTTGTGTCTGAAACCTGGTGCACCTGCGATAGGGTTGAGATCAAAGTGAGTGATTTTCTGCTGTATCAGGAATGATGACGTTGTTATTCTCCTGAATGTGGTATCTAGTATCACTGTAAATGGCATTGCTAGAAATGATGATGTGAACTGTTACAACTGAATACAAATTTTCAAAAGGAAAATTTTCTTTTATTGAAAATATTTTGCATGTTAGAGCAGTATCTTCTGTGGATCAAAGTATACAAGGTGACATTACTTTTTTGGTTATTAAATGTTATTCTCTCATTTAGAAGCCAGTCTCAATTTTTTACCCAGCAATGCATGTTTTGCTTCCATATGCTGTAAGCTGCTACATGGGATCCAACAGGTGATATAAGCTGTGTTGCTAAGAAGATACACGGGAGTTTTAAGATATTACTACACAGAACCAACTATGTGGCATGACAAGTGACAACCTGAAATAGGATCTGAAGCAAAGTTAATAAAAGTATGAAATTATAGCTCAAGAAATAAAAAGCTACATGATATGAAATTCGCTAAATAACAGGAAATAGTGGCGCTTAATGAATTTTTTTTTTGGTCTTGAAGGTTTCTAGTGGAGATCCACAGGGATTGGAGTTAGGACCTTTTCTTTTCCCAATATGTTAGTGTCTAGACCTCTGTATACAGAGTGCCATTTCAAAATTTCTGGATGATCTGAAACTGGAAGCATTGTGAATAGTGAGGAGGTTAGTGTAAAACTGCAACAGGATAGACGAGTTGGGCAGATGTGTCGATGCAAGGAAGTGTGAAGTGATTCATTATTTTAGGAAGAAGACAAGCAATATAAAATGAAGGGTACAGTTCCAAAGTGGTTGCAGGAGCAAAGATAACTGAGCGTATATGAGCATTATTTTTTGAACATGGCAGGAAAGGGTTGAGGGAGTGGTTAATAAAACATACATTATCCATTGCTTAATAGCATGCAAGCGATTTGAAGAGTGATACACTTTAAATAAGATCATTTGAAATGAAAGCATTCTGATGAATATCACCTGTGTCATGTTTAGTCAAGCTGATAGACCAGTGAGTAGGGTCTTGAGAAAAATGAGTTAAAAAGGAACTTACTTGAGGCAGTGGCTCCAGAAGCTCGGCAAGATGGATCCAAATTAGCTTACTGGTAGGAGATGGAGGCCAGTGTCCAGTGGTGTACCACGAGAATCAGAGCTGGGACTGTTATTGTTTGTCATCTATATCGCTTATATATATATATCACAATGTGAAGGGGATGATAAAATTTGCAGATGACACAAAAAGTGGTTAATAGTGATGAAGAAGTCTTAGGATATAAATGGGTTAGTCAGACAGGCAGATCAGTTGCAGATAGAATTTAACTCTAAGTGTGAGGTGACGCACTTTGAAGGAAGTAACCAGACAAGGGAGTACTCAGTGAACGGCAGGACACTAGGAAGCTCAGAGCAACAGAGGGATCATGGGGGTTCTTGTCCACAGATTCCTGAAGGTGACGAGACCAACTAATAGGTTGATTAAGAAGGCATACAGGGCACTTGCCTTTATCAGTCACGGCATAGATTATGAGAGTATGGAAGTTATGTTGGCGCTGGGACTTTGCTTAGGCCACAGCTGGAATTCTGTGTGCAGTTCTGATCACCACACAATGAGAAGGATGTGTTTGCAATGGAAGAGGTGCAGAGGAGATTCACCAGGATATTACCTGAGCTGGAGCATTTTAGCTGTATTGAGAGGTTGGATAGGCTCAGATTGTTTCCTTTAGAGCAGAGAAGGCTGAGGGGGCATCCATATTGAGCTGCATAAGATTGGGTATTGACAAGGTGGATAGGAAGCAGCTATTCTCTTTGAAGGCTCAGTAACAAGGGGGCATAATTTTAAGGTGCAAGGCAGGTGATATAGACAACATTTTAAGGAAAAATATTTTCAACCAGAGGGTAGTGGGAATCTGGAATGCACTGCCTGGGTGGGTGGTAAAGGCTGGACACCTCATAACCTTTTAAAAAGTATGTGGATGAGCATTTAAATGTCATAACATTAACTGCTGTGAGCCATGTCCAGGAAAATAAGTGTAGGTACAGAGTTCATGGGCTGAAGAGCCTCTTCTCTGTTCATTGACTCTTGACAGTGATATCAGGAAAGTTCACGTATTTTGAGGCTATGATGCAAGTAGGAGAGGAGTGTTTAAGGGGGATGAAAGGATATGCAAGGCAAGACGACTGGAAAACGTGCATAAGGCAGATTCAAGACAATGTGGATGGACAATATAAAAATGTGGATTGGTCTCTGAGGCAAGGAACAAAAACAGCAAAGAATAGAATACTGAAAAAAAGATTGTTTATAATTTGGCCAACCCTAAGAATGACAATAATTGAAAGACAAGACTGGGTACAGGAGCAAGGAGGTTGTGTTAAATTTGTGCAAAGGACTAGTTCAGCCTATACTGCAATATTGTTCCCTGTTCTAGAGGCATGACACTTTTCTAAAAGTGCAAAAGCATTGGAGAGTGTGTAGAAAGGATTCAGTAGAGTTATTCGCGGGATAAGGAACTTCAATTCCATAGAATATATAAGTTAGCATTCTTTCTCTTCCTTGGACAAGACCATGCTGAACATAGTATTCCGTGTAGGGGTTTTTGTGTATGTCAATGAATGATGGTGGAGTGAATTTGTGAATCAATGTACGGAATAGTCCCAATATTCCATTTATGAATGTGATTTCATTATCAGATTATGGGATGCTCTCAGTGCACAAAATGTGAAAAACTGAGATTATTCAGTTCTTTGAATTGACAGGAAAGCTTGTTGTTTATGGTGGGGTCATGCTTGAAAATGAAAAAGCCATTCAGATCCAGAGTTGGATTCTTATGATACCACAGTCAAAGTGAATCAGAAAATATTCAGTGACCTCTGCATTAGATGTTTTCAAAACTCTTTGGTTGTGGTTAAAGGTATCTTTCTACAAATAATTTAATATGCTGTGCCACATTTAATATGAATTACTGGCATTATGACGTTCTTCAAAGTGGCGATCACCCACTTCGAGATCAACAACTCACTGTATAATTGGTGTATAAGTCAACTACTTTTTTTGGAAGCATTCTTGAAGGCTTCTAAAGCCTACTTATGTACTGCAAACCACAGCATTTGACATTCACTATGTGATTTTTGTTTTAAAGTTGAAATTGAATTTAAAATTTTTGTTTTTACTTTTTTGTACATAGACTTTTAAAGAAGAAAAGTATTTGAGAGATGCGGTGGAGTGTAGTGATGTTATCTGGCAGCGAGGGCTGCTGCGGAAGGGTTATGGAATCTGCCACGGAACTGCAGGCAACGGATACGCTTTCCTCTCTCTATACAAGTTGACTCGAGATAAAAAGTATCTCTACAGAGCTTGCAAGGTAAGATGAAAAGTAATTACCATCCATAATGCAAAGATTAGATTCTTTTATAAAAAGCAAAATACTGCAAATCCTGGAAATCTGAAATGTAAAGAGAAAATACTGGAGAAGGCAACAGGTTGGCAGCATCTGTGGAGAGAAAAAGAACAGTGAACTTTACAAATCTGATTTGATTCCTCTTCATATTCTTTTAGTTTGTTTTATGAAATTAACTTAGGCAGGGGGTCAGTTAACTCAGTTGACGAGACCTCTGGTTTGTGATGTAGAGTGATGCCAACAGCATGGGTTCAATTCCCACACCAGCTAAGGTTACAATGAAGGATTTTTCTTTTCAACTTCCCCCCGCCTTATCTGAGGCATGGTGACTGTTGGGTTAAACCACCACCAGTTGTCTCTCTCTCTCTCTAATTAGAGAGCAGCCCTTTGGTCTGGTAAGACTATGGCGATTTTACCTTGCCTTACCTTACATTAACTTGGAGAACCTCCCAAGGCACTTCACTCTCTCTTCTATTTCTTGAAATGTCTCATTATGTGAGGTTGCTAACATGATATCAGCAGGGCAAAAGGGAGGAGTACCCCCAAGAAATATCTGCTTGCACAAGTAACATTATTTTGCACCACACTAGCTATCTAGACAACTGAGCTAATTGATACATGTGAGCAGTTCAAAGTGGTATAATGAAACAAAAATGGATGCTTAGACAAGGAAGAACATAAAAGAATGAGTGACCAAACATTGGATCAAGGTGTTGTGGAGGGCCTTAAAGGAGAGAGGGAGGATACAGAGGTTAAGAAATGTGAGGAGTGAATTCCATTCTTTGGAACCTAGATAACACAGCATGGGTATCAATGCTGTGGTGGAGCTTGAGAAGCAAGAGCTAGCCAAACAGATATTTCTGGGGAAACGGAAGTGAATTTGAAGGCTGGTGGAGATTATGAAGATAGAGGGGAATGAGAATGTTAAATTGATAGCATTGGGTATTGATGAGTTAATGTAGATCAACAGGAACATGCCTGATTGGGTTATCATTGGGATTGAAAATAGCTGTTACTTGAGTCTATAACAAAGGATGGGGTATCTGAACACCTTAAATTTTCAGTGAATCAGTGAGAGCTAGCATGGATTCATGAGAGGTAAGTCATGCTTGACAACCTCATTGAATTTTTTGAAGAGGTGACTAAGGTATGCACAGGGGAATGTCCACTGATGTTGTTTCATATGGACTTCCAGAAGGCATTTGATAAAGTCCCACATAAGACACTGTTAACTAAGACAGAAGCCCATGGAATTGAGGACAAATTACTGACCTAGCTGGGAAATTGGCGTCCCACAAGGATCTGTGTTAGAGCTGCAATTATTCATGTTTCTAGTTATAACTTGGATAATGGCATAGAAAGTTATATATTCAGATTTGCTGATGACACAAAGTTAGATGGTGTTGTAACATTGTACGTAATAGTCTATCAATATCTCGCTCTAATTTTATGCTGAGTGAATGGTCAAAACTGTGGCAGATGGAGTTTGGTGTAAGCAGGTATAAGGATGTAAAAAGGATAGATCAGGGTATTTTCTAGGGGTTCAGGTGCATAGATATTTTACATGTTACAAACAGGTGCAAAAAATAATCAAGAAAACTAATGGAATGCTGGCCTTTATATCTGGAGGACTGAAAAGGATGTAGAAATTATGCTGCAGTTATACAAAACCCTGGATTAAACCCCACTTGGAATACTGTGAGCAGACCTGAGACAGGGGAAAAAAAAAAACCTGAGGGCAAACTAGTGTGGAATATAAAAGCTGAGTGTAAGAGCCTCTTCAAATATATAAGGAAGAGCAAGGTCAAAGTGAACGGGGGCTCCTTTAAAAAATGAATCTTAAGGGATAGTTATGGGGAACAAGGAAATGGCAGAGAAATTAAACAGATATTTTACATCAGTCTTTATGATAAAAGATATTTCAAATATCCCATTAGTACTAAAGAGTGCAGGGGAGCAATTAAGTACCATCACTAGAGAGGTAGCATAAGACAAACTAATGGTGCTGAAGGCAGATAAGACCCCTGTCCCTGAAGACTTGCATCCGAAGATCCTAAAGAAGTAACTACAGAGATAGTGAATGCATTGTAATTTTTCCAAAGTCCTTGGATTCTGGACAAGTACCAGAGGATTGGGAAACTGCCATTGTGATACCCCTATTCAAAAAGGGAGGGACTCAAAATGTGGGTAATTATAGGCCAAATAGTCAAACAGTTGTTGTTAGAAAAATGTTGGAATTAATTATTAAGGAAGCAACAGCACATTTGGAAAATCATAACCTAATCGATCAGAGTCAGCATGGCTTCAAGGAAAGGAAATCATGTCTGACAATTTAAGGAAAGATATTTCATTGGAGGCAGTTCAGAGAAAGTGCACTAGGATGATTCCTGGTATGAAGAGATTGTCTTCTGAGCAAAGGCTAAATAGATTTGGTCTCTAGTGACTGGAGTTTAAAAGAACAAAAGTTGATCCCATTGAAATATATAGGATTGTTAAACTGCTTGACAAGATAATACTGAGAGGATGTTTCCCCTCATGGGAGAGTCTAGGACTAGGGAGCATCGTCACAGAATAAAAGGGAGCCATTTTAAGACTAAGATGAGGAAATGTTAAGAGTCTTTAGAATTCCTTGCCAAAGAGAGCTATGGGGCAGAGTTCTTGTATATATTTAAGGGTGAGATAGATTATTGATCAGTAGGAGAATCGAGGATTACGAGAATAAGTCAGCAAACCAGACATGAGGAATGGTGGAGCAGGCTTGTGTACAAATAGCCTATTCCTTTCTTATGGTCATATGACTGACTCCAAATCACAGATCATGCCATTTCAAGAAAATTTGGCTTGATTTTGTTATGGTCTTGCTTGTCTTCACAATCTGCTCGCTTTTTAAAGGATTCATCAAATGATCTGGATCATAGCTTCAGCTGTCAGTCACTTCACTTGCTTGCACTGTTACAGTACTCAGGACATTCATTCCCACAATTCAACTATAAAAGTGAGATATAAAGACAATATGTACTTTTCTCCCAGCTGCAATGGTAGCCACCACATTATGATACAAAGATAGCTGAGGTGAACACTCTGAAATCAATGACCATTGTAAATAGCAGTAGTAATCTGCACCAGGTAATCTCCGAACAGTAATGAGGTCCACAAGTACTATAGGTAAAGAATTCTAGTTCTCTACAGCATTTCTTTTGCTAATGATTTTTGCGAAAAGATATTCTGCACAAAGATCTATATGTCCCCGGTTTTGCTCTATAACTGTTTTGAAACCTACAAAGAAGAATAGAACAGCTGACAGTGAGTACATCCACATTTACTATTTTTTGGATTATGACGGTTCAATTCATGCTCGCCTTTCGTATTACAGATTGCAGAAAACAACTTCAATATTGCTTGCTCTTTACAGTTTGCTGAATGGTGTTTGGATTATGGAACGCATGGATGTCGTATCCCCGATAGACCATATTCCTTGTTTGAAGGTAATGCACTGAACTGTTTGTTGAGTTAGGGTTATTAACCATCTTTGAAGACTTTGTACTTTAATTTGTTACTGCAGTTATGTAATTTGGTAAAACCAATACCACTGTTGCTGTTTTTTTAACCCTGTTAAAACCTTACTTCAGTCAAATCTTTTACTATGTTATACTTGAATTAGGCTATGTAATCGCAAGCAAAAAAATTTACTGATAGACAACGGTGAACTGGGTAGCAGCATGAAGAATGATGCAGAGTATGAGGTGATGTATTTTGGGAGGTTGAATATGGAAAGATGGTATAAAAGACATGATAAGGTTGATGAGCAGAGAGTTTTTGATGTCTGTATATGCAAATCATTAAATGGCAAGGCAAGTTGATATGGTATTTAAAATGCTCATTGAATATTTGAATTTATAGTCAGAAGCATAGTTTGTGAAAATAAAGATCACCCAGGAACTAGTTAAACTTCATTGGAAGTATTGTGAACAATTCTTGCTCACAAATGATACTGAGGAGACTGAGCGGATGTTACCA